TCTCCATTCAGAAAGGCATTTTTAACATCCATCTGGAACAAGGGCCAAGAGTAACTTGCTGCAAGGGCTAATAGAACTCGAATAGTGGTCATCTTTGCTACTGGAGCAAAAGTCTCCAAGTCTGAATAAACCCTTTTGCAACCAACCGGGCTTTGTACCTTTCAATGGAGCCATCAGCATTATGCTTCACAGTAAATACCCATCTACATCCAACCGGTTTCTTTCCTCTGGGTAGATCAACTAGCTCCCAAGTATTATTTTTCAAAAGGGCATCCATCTCAACTTTCGTTGCATCTTTCCACTCTGGAACTGATAAGGCTTCTTGCACTGTTCTAGGGATAGGGATATCGGCAATGGAAGTGAGATAGGACCTGTAAGAGGAAGACAGGCGATCATTGGATAGAAATTGGGAAATGCAGTGAGCTGTGGATGTGGTGCAACGTCGTTTCCCTTTACGGACTGCAATAGGGAGGTCAAGGTCATCTGAAGGAGGGGAAGTAGCAACAGTGGAAGGTTTCTCAGTGGGCCCTGGGACTGTAGTACCTGGATCTGGATCCGCAAAAAGAACTGGAGCTGGCCTAGACTGCCGATGACCGAGATCAACCTGCCTGCATCGCTTGTGATAGACTTTCAACTCCTGATCCCTCTGACAACCCTCACCATTACAGCCTTCATCACTCAATGGAATGGGTNGTCCAAGAAGCTGAACAAAACAGGTACAACCAAAGGTTTTAAGAGGAATAGTAAACAACTCCTCATCTGGGTATAGAAGAGTAAATGAAGGCTTCATATCAAGAACCTGGGAAGGAACCCGATTAATGAGATACACTGCCGTGAGGATAGCATCACCCCAGAAACGGATAGGCACATTGGACGTAAACATGATGCTTCTAGCCACCTCCAAAATGTGCCTATTCTTCCTCTCGGCAACCCCATTCTGTTGTGGTGTATGAGGACAAGTGCTCTAGTGAATAACCCCATGATCAAGTAAATAAGAGGCTAGTGGCTTAGCAAAGTATTCTTTTGCATTATCAGATCTGAGGACTTTGATTTTGACCCCAAATTGGGTTAAAATCATCTGATGAAAGTTTTGGGTCAGAGCGGGAACCTCATCTCGAGAACACATAAGGTAGACCAAAGAAAAGTGGGTTTGGTCATCAACAAACAACAGAAAATATCTGTACCCACCCATAGAAGGGATGTGATATGGCCCCCAAACATCGGTATGCACAATATCAAAAGAATTATTACTTATTTTATTACTCAAGGAATAAGATGTTCTACAATGTTTGGCAAGCTCACAACTCTCACATCTTAAATTTGACATCTCAACAGACTCAAATAAAGTAGGAAACAGGTTCTTCAAGGACCGAAAAGATAAATGACCTAATCGATTATGCCAAAGCATAACCGGACTCACAAACTGAGAAACAAAAGACTTCTTATCCATTGGCTCTTTCCAATGTGAAATTTCTCCAAGCAGATAGATCTCATTCGTCTCACAGCCAGTCCCAATCACCTTCCTCGTCTCCAAGTCGTGAAAAACACATCGGTCAGGGAAAAATGTTACTGAACAGTTTTGATGTTTGGTAATGCTACTGACTGAAAGCAAATTAGTATCAAGTTTAGGAACATGCAAAACTGAGGATAAAGAGATAGTATCAGACAACTTGATGTCACCCTTGCCAGAAATAGGAACAAGAGAGCCATCAGCAATGGATACTTTATCTCTACCAGAAGACAAGTGATAAGTAGTGAACAATGATGGCAAGCTAGTCATATGGTCAGATGCACTTGAGTCTATTATCCAACAGTGTTCAGTGTTACCTGGAGCTGAAGTATGATAGGCTGAGGCCCGAGTACCTAAATGAGCAAATGCAGATGTGGCAGGGGTTTAACTGCCGGCAGGGCTAGGGGAAAGGGTTGATGTTGCATCATAACCTTCCTCCTGGTCTCTTCACTATGCACCAGGGAGTATGCTTGAGAGAGGGTCACACTGTCTCTTGTCAGTATCTACTGGCTCACAATGTCATAATCTGAATTCAGGCCAGCCAGAAATTCAAACACCCTATTGGTCTCGACTTGCTTTCTATGGGTCTGTGCATCTTTTGGACTTTATCACTCAAGAGTCTCCAGATGGTCAATTTCATGCCACAAGGATTTCAAGGTAGAGAAATAAACAGAGACTGG